TTTTTTTTTATGAAAACACGTTTTTCTCAATTACTTACGTGCGTTTTAAGATTTTAACTTAATCTTTCTGAAAATGTAGATTTAAGTAATTAACTACGAATCAACGAGAAAAAAAGTTTTCTTCGTCCAGTGTTCACCTGCAAAACTTTGGAGTAACCTTAAGTATCAAAACTAAGCCTAAGGGCTGGCTGTGAACGCCTTTTTGTGTTCTCGTGCTGGAAACACTTACCCCCTTGCAGCTATTCCTAAAAGGTTCAAAACATTGCTCTTCTTACAAATGTCTCCAATGGCACGATTGACACAAGCTTCGTTCTGTAAAGTCCTAAACACTTTCGAGTCGTCCGCCAGTGAACTTTTACAATGTTGTAGTATCTGGAAGTATTTTGTAACACTAAAGGTGTATGCTACCTTTCTCCCTCTTCGATAGCTATCAGGTTTTTCTCTTCTGGCTTCAGCCATGGATTTTTTCTCAACGTCTTTGAATTCAGCTTTAATTTTAGTACAAACATCGGCCGGCACACTATCTTGCTTCTGTTCCATGTCCAGGTCATTCAATTCATCAATAGTGTAGATGTCTCCTTCAAATCGGCCTGGGTCATTTAGAACAGAAGACGATCCTTGCTCCAATCCCAGAACCAAGATAAGCGATAAAGCACTGTGTAAACGTCCTGGCATGTTGTCTGACGGAGAGATTAATCAAATAACTTGAGGCCGTCAAGTTGCAACCAAGAACATAGAAAGTTCAATCAACTTTATTATAGTGATATTACTGCTAGTAATGTTGACAACGCCATTCTCTTTGTAAATTCTTTTTGTTCCCCCTGATTTTGCGTGATATGGCGTGCGTAAGTTCGCGAACTATGCCTTGATTGTTTAAAAATAAAATTGGTTCTGTGAAACATAGACCTAATTCTTTGAAAATTAAATTTGATATCTTCATAAGCAACTTTTATTTTTGTTAAATGCAGGCTTCTAAAACTTGTGATTCTCTTTAGTGCAAAATTCGGTAGTTTTGTGTTTGAGAGCGACATAAAACTAATTAAAACTTATACTTTGAAATGGAGGTGAATAGTTTGTAGAAATAAATCATTCAAGTTCGACCCTTTTATAGATTACAGCCACAAAGACGTGACAGTCTAACACGGTAACTCGATCATTGCAAGTTTTTTTCTTAAAGCCGACTGACTCGTTAATTTGAAAAAAATTTCCAAAAACTTCGACGGAAAATTTTCATCAGAATAACAGTATTTCAAGGAATTATCGAAGAAATGTTTTACCAACAGATGCCGAAGACACCTTCGCATGCTTCGACATCATGGATTCAAACTTGTTATTGAATTTAATTATGGCCGGTGACAGCGAATGTATGGAGAGTTTTCATTTTTTCTGACAACAAATCATCGATGGTGATATGTCCCGATTCAATTTATCGCGAAAGAAGGGTTTTATGGGGGGCTATCACAAAGGTTTAGATGGCGGCGCTCTCCGATTGAGGTAAGCTTTGCTTTGTTGCTGAATCCTTTCGTGTAGCTAACAAGATTGTTGTTGAATATCAATTGCTGTAAAGTAAGGGATTAAGGTCTTTTCATCCCAATTAATTGCCATGTAAACCGGCTATCAAACGTTTGAACGATTTCAAGTTGAAAACGACAAGCTCTTGTTTACCGTTACTGACTTACACAAATCATCCCAGGGACATTTCTTTTAAACTACTAGTGTCAGTTACATATACTTCGGATGGCATTTTCGTGTAATCCCATTCTTCTTTAGGTATATAGTTCTTTATTGCAAGGAAATTTTCTTTACAGATTTACAGTATCTACATCTTGTGAACTCTGCCCAAAAATTTTTAATTCTTTCTGAACGATTGCACGTTAAAACCTAGAGAAGTACACAGAAATTACTTTGAAACGCAGATGTAAAATGTTCTGCAAGCACGAGTTTGGTTTAAACTTTTCGCAGTCTGATGATTTCTGTCTTTTCATATTGTGGTAAAACCTGGTTTAATGACACTAGCATATTTTAACCATTCGTATTCACTTCCAAGGTCATTATATCGCAGAGATATAGCTGTTGAAATTTAGTGCCTGAATATTATTCCAACAAGGAAGTTGCTGGTTATTTGTTTGAAGGGTCAATTCTAATTTGCGTGTTTACGATGAATTTCAAAATAACCGCAGCCGTAGTGTAAGGTGAATCAAAACGAAATACTAAAATTTATTCTCGAGGCATTGACCACTTTCAAAAATGGCTGCCGGATTAATATTCTTTTGTTTAAATTTAAATTAGCCTTTCTGGCCTCGCTTGAGATAATGTATTCTTTTGAATTTTGTACTAGAGAACGAGGTCGCAGAGATTTAGCCATTGAAATCTAGTGCCTGGGTGTCCTGCAATAAGGAAGTCGCTGGTCAAGTTATTTGTTTGAAAGGTCAGTTCTAATTTCC